GTAGGCCGGGCTGGAAGCTGGGAGGACCGCAGTGAACCTACTAAGCGTTTTGATCCCGAAGGACTTTCGGCTGGTGAGTGCCCTTAACAGACTCCATAGATGCAATAGCATGATTCAGCCATGTAGCTGATGCTCGGAGGACTGGATTTCGCCCCCGATTCCAGCGCTTCCGCCCACCTGGTCTGGCAGCCCTTGGGCGCGCACTATGGGATGCTAAGCCACACCCTCTGGCACATGCTACAAGCTAGCAGTGACCTGCTACTTGTGCCTGGAATACCACCGTCGCCACCATTCCAGGTCGCCCACTCTGAAAACCCAAATTCCAGAAAACGATCAGAACTCCCTGCCGCTTCCAGTATGCTGCACTCATGGATCTGAACTCATCACAGTCCAGGGGCACACAGTAGGTGCTCAACAATTGAACGTCACCCTGAGAATTATTGCTTTCTATCGTCGCTTCCATGTTTCCACAGGAGTGTCTTTCAGGAGCTTATTGTATCTGCCTGGCAGTGCGCTAAGAGGTTTTCATGAATATCTTTTGCGATCCTCCCACTCTTGCGAGAAGAGAAGCTTTTATTACCTGCATTTAAAAGATAAGGAAGCTAAGAGTTAAACAGCCAGAGGCTGAGCCAACCAGAGGACAGAACTCGGCTGGCAGAATTGTCTGGAGCCTCAGCTGACTGCAGAATACCTGGCTCTGAGCTGGAGTGAATTACCCAAGGGCTTGAACTGTAACGGAGGGGCTGACAGGGGACTGGTCCAGCTACTGCCTTCACCAGATGTTTACTGAGCGCCTTCACTGTGACATTGTTGCCAGGTAGTAAAATACAAAAATGAATGTCAGAAAAAAAATCTATGCCCCGAAGAGGTCATCAGTCCAGTGGAAATGTGTTAAAAGAAATAATGGCGGACTGGAGAGATGGCTCAGCGGTTAAGAGCACTGGTTGCTCTTGCAGAGCACCCAGGCTTGATCCCCAGCACTCACATGGCAGCTAACAACCGTCGGTAACTCTCAGTTCCAGGGGATCAGACACCCTCTTCTGACCTCCACAGGCACTGAACAACACGGGTGCATGAATACACATAAGATAAAAATAATAAATAAAATATTTTTTTTTAAAAAGAGATAATGCCAATTTAGTGGATAACTGGCTCTTTTGTTGTTTGTGGGTGGTAGTGGTAGTGTTGTTGAGACAGGTCTTACTATTTAGTCCAGACTTGCCTGGATCTTAGAGAGCTGTTTTCTTGTCTGGCCTTGAACTTGGAAAGCTCCTATTTTTGTCCTCCAAGGTGCTGATATTGCAGGCTAGCACTCCTACACCCTAGTTGTAAATGTTTTAGTGAAACAACGTTGTGTTAGGATACCTAGGGAGATTAGGCTAATTTTGCCTGTTGAAGTGGATTGGAAGCTGGGACAGGGGAGAAGTGAGGGAATCCAGGAATACTTCCCCACAGAGGTGAAACTTTAACTTTCTTGAAAAATGAGAGAGGCAGGCATGGTGACACCTACAATCCCAGCACTCAGGAGGCAGAGACAAGGAAAATGTAAGACAAGTCCATCCTGGCTCATGGAAATGTATGTGGCAAGGCTTGCAAAGACGCCCCTAGAGGTCCCTGAGGCTGGAGCAACAGGAGAGTCAAGAGATGGGAAGAAAAAGGAAAGAGAAAAGCAAAAAAGAGATTGTGTACCTTGCAAGGGCCTCTTCAAAGACTAATCTACTCTTCTTGGTATTGAGATAGTGTAAATAAGTGGACCCTAAATGGGGTGTCACAAATACTGTTGTAGATGTACAGATTTTTTTAGACTAATCCCGTAGTTTCTGTGTGCTAAGAATATAACACTGGGGGCTAGAGAGATGGCTTAGCAGTAAAGAGCACTGGTTGTTCTTACAGAAGACCCAGGTTCAGTTCCCAGCACCCACATGGTGGCTAACAACCATCCTTAACTCCAGTTCTGTGGACTTCAATGTCCTCTTCTGATCTCTGCCAGCAATGCATGACATGGGTGCATTTACATACATGCAGGCAATACACTCATACACAATTTTTGAAAAAGAATGTAACACTGAAGGAGTTAATCCTCAGAGTCTTGCCTCTATTTTCAGGTCCCCAGATGCACCTTTCTCTTGTTCTTTTGGTGCTGATGATTGAACCCAGGGCCTCATGCATGCTAAGCATGTTCTTCTGCTGAGCTACATCTCCAGTCCCAGATAGTCTTTCTAATCCAGTAGCTGACTTGCAGGTAGAACTTTATCAATAAGTAGCCTTGAGTGCCGTCTTGGTTATGGGTCATTGAGGTCAGTGGTAAGCCCTCCAGTACATCCTATAGATAGATTGGAGTCTAGTTGAAGTAAGTCTGGAGTAGCCGCACAAAGTATTCTGCAGCTATGAAAATAAACGAGGGGCTGAGACTGTAGCTTGGAGATGGAGTGCTTACCTAGCATGTATAAGGCCTATGTGTTCCATTCCTACATCCAGGTAGAGAGGCAGAGGGAATAAGGAAGCCATGCCTGTTATCCTAGCCTTTAGGAAGCTGTGGCAGAGTTCAAATCTAACCTGGGCTACATAGAAGGGAAGGAACAGATGGGTAGCACTTAGTATATTTGCAAGGTCCTGGAAGAAGCAGGGGAATGCTTATACTGCATTTGCATAGACTGTATCTGAGAAAATTCCTAAGAATGTGAAGACTTTGCTAAAGAGAACTATTTTTGAAATTTTTGTTATTTTTCTTTGTATCTTAAAAAATAATCCTAGCCAGGATTGGTATACACACCTTTAATCCCAGCAGTTGGGAGGCAGAGGCAGGTAGATCTCTGTGAGTTTGAGGCCAGTCTGGTCTATATAGTAAGTTCCAGTCAGGACTACACAGAGCGATCCTGTCTCAAAATAAATCGGTCCTACTTGAGGAGGAAGGGATGTAGCTCAGCAACACATGAACCTCGCATGCATAAAGGCCTGGGTTCTATCCCTAGCACCAAAATAAAAAGTTCTGTCCAAAACTCTTCCAATATTCCTGAATTTGTTATTTTTCTTTCTCTTGAATGTTTTAAGTAGTTTGTTACTATATAACACATACTACAACATAGTTGTTTATCCATGAACAGTGTATCACATTGTTTTACACTGTACTTTCCCTTCAGTGTCTTTATTTTCACTTGAGATTATTTAAAATACATATTTTTTTATTTTATGTGTATGTGTGTATTGCCTGTATGTGTGTAAGTGCACCCATGTGGTGCAATGCCTGAGGAGGTCAGAGGAGGTGGTTGGATCCCCTGGAACTGAAGTTACAGACAGTTTAGCTGCCATGTGGGTGCTGGGAACTGAACCCAGGTTCCCTGCAAGAGCAGCCAGTGCTCTTAACTACTGTACCATCTCTCCAGCCTAATTTGAGATTATTTAAAATACCTTTAAAGGTTGGCACATGCCTTTAATCCTAGCACTTGGGAGGCAGATCTCTCTCAGTTCAAGGTCAGTCTGGTCTACATAGGGAGTTCCAGGCCACCTGGGGTCTCAAAGAGACCAAAAAATAAACCAATTAATTAATTAATTAATTTAATTAAATACCTAATCATGTCACTCAGCCATTTAGTGAAACTATTATATTGAAGGAGAGTGCTCCTCAGACCCCCTCCCTGTCCTCTGAGAAAGAGCTGCCCTCCGCCTGACTCTGGAAATCCCCTAGATTGTTCAAACCCTTTCCTGGTACATCTGTTTATGGTTTCTATGGAAATGGTCTGGGGCAGGAGAGGAAGAAGGTTCTGCCCCAGGTAAGCTAGCCAATGGCTGTATAGGTTAAGACTCTGGAAATCAGCCCTAGATTGTTCAAATCCTTTCCTGGTTCTTCTGTTTATGGTTTCTATAGAAATCCCCTGCTCTGCGGTTTTTGTGCTTAAAAGCCCTGCATTTCCACAGCTCTGGGTCACAGTGTAGCTCCTGAGCCTGCCTGCATCCCCAGCCACTCAGTCTCAATAAAGCAGCTAAGTTTTCCTGAGTCTCTGTGTCCGAGTGGTCAATTCAGACCCCAAACAATACAGTACTCTCTTGCTTGGCTATGCCCTAGTTAATCCAATTTAATGATGAACATTTAGGTTATTTTCTGGTTTTCCATACAGTATTTCAATTCATTCTTTGTGGGTGTGAATGTGAGTGTACGTGTGTGAGTGCTGGTGCGTGTGTATGTGTGTATGAAGACCAGAGGTCAGTATCGAGTGTCTTTCTCAATTGCTTCTCCACTTCATTTTTTGAGAAAGCATCTCTCACTGGACCTGGAGCTCACCAATTGGCCCGACTGGCCGGCCAGCAAGCCCCTGTAATCCTGTCTCCACCCTCCCAGCTCTGGGATTATAGGCGTGGGCTGCACACTTGGTTTTTTCATGGGTTCTGGGGATCCAAACTCAGCTCTTCATGATTGTGCAGTAAGCACTTTATTGACTGAGCAATCTCTCCAATCTTTTGATTTACTCTTGTTATATGTACACATGGGACAGGGAGGTATCAGGGTGTATAAATGTGCATGTGTGCATGTGGAGGCCATGTGTCATCCCCAGGAATGCCATCCACTTCCTTTGAGACAGGATCTCTCTTTGGCCTGGAACCCCAGAGTAGTAGATTACAAGTGTGTGCCGCATCCACATGTGCCCCCACCCCCCACACACATGCATTTTTTAAGTGCAGCTGAACATTGGGGAACACACCTGTGACCCAGCATTTGGGAGGCTGACACAGAAGAATCTTGATTTGAAGACCAGCCTGGGCTACGTAGCCAGGATATCTCAAACAACAACAACAAAAACAAAAACAAAAGAGTGAAGAGTAAAATGCTTTACAAATCTTTGTGCTATTAAACATGATGTGATGGTCACTAAGATGACACTGAAAGTGAGGATGCTCCCGCCTGTGCCTAAGCCAAAGCCAAAAGATTTCA